TATCACGGGCCTTCACGGCCATTACTCAGGCATGCGGATGCGTAGGCGAGCAGTGACAAAGAGTGAAAGCACCACACAGATACGTGCACGTACTGTTGGTGCAGTGAAAGCCGTCTACGCCAACCGATCGCTGCTCAGTGGACCCCTGAAGCATGGTCTCCGCGTACACGTGGTCACCTTAACTTAACCAGGGTTCTTTTGACAGGACATGGTACTGGTACCCTCTGGTCCCGGGACACTATACCCCCTGGGCTCCAGACATGGTACTCTCTGGTCCCGGGACATTGTACTGTCTGGTCCCGAGACATGGTACTCTCTGGTCCCGGGATATGGTACCCTTTGGTCTCCGGACATGATACCCTCTGGCCTCAGATCTGGTAGTTTTCTTGTGACCCTCTGGGCAGGTGGTTGCCTTATCAGAGTAGTCCCCTCGAAACATTTAGCTGTGGGCGAATGCCTATGGCACTATGTAACATAATATTATTATGACAATGAGCCAGCAACCTGGTCTGGAGATGATATGCCAGTAGGCTGTAGAATTCCGCGGCATTTCACACACTCCGGCACACAGTCACAGGGTTACTTCAGGTCCACTTCAGGTCCACTGACGGGTAGCAGAGTGGAGCAAGATACACAGTTACTTTGAGTACAATGTTATGTATAGTCCGGGACTGAAGACATGAAGTGCACGTCTGGGTAGCACAACAGCTGGCTGCATGACTAGGAGATACTTCTGAAAAAAGAAAAAAAACAATTGGCTGATGAGAGATTGCGATTGACTGCGGAGCACTGCCTCTCTTTCTGTTTGACGGTGAGCCCTTGGTCTCTATCTGGCTCCATCCCCATCCCCATCTCCAACCCCATCTCCATCTCCACGGCGTACGTGTACTTACTATACAAGGTACTGTAATTTCACAAATTTTCGATGCACTGTTATTTTCCGTACTTTTGGTGCATCTGTTGAGGAATTCTGTTCGATACCTAAAATTTCAATACACCGAACAAACACTAACACACATAATCCAATAGGGAACTGCTTCTCTGTACCTAAAATTTCTGTTCGCCTAACCTGGCCCTTTGCCCTCATGCCGAAAGTATGGAGCACCTAAAATTTCTGAAATTTGGCTTATGATTTCTTTTTCTTCTGTTTGTATTTAGCGCTTGACCGGTTATTATTTTCCTTCTCTTTATTTTGCGCTACATATTATTATTTTTCTGGTTTTAGAGTTCGTATCGGACGACTGTGAAAAAAATCTGAAATTAGAGTACTGTAATTTCAAAAAAATTCGATGTACTTTTATTTTCGGTACTTTCGGCGTGTCTGTTTCACACCTAAAATTTCAATACACCGAACAAACACTAACACACATAATCCAATAGGGAACTGCTTCTCTGTACCGAAAATTTCTGTTCACCTAACCTAGCCTGTTGCCCTCATACCGAAAACATTGAGCACCGAAAATTTCTGAAATTAGAGTACTTGCCTTCCTTACATACTTCAATCTAAGAGTTAGAGCAGTGCACCCTTGCTCTGAATGATATGTTCGGTGAATACTTGACAAAGTTACAATGGTTTGAACATGACACACTTCCATCACTCAAACGATTCAATTCGATTGTTCGAGCCTCAAAGGGGCAGCCCAATTCGTGGAGATGGAGATTCACGACTCAAACTAATAATTAGCCTGACCATTCTGGGTTGTAGAAAGTAGTCGGGTGGACACACCCATTCCCAAAGCACTGCAAACCGAAACAATGCTTTTACATACGTTTCGGCAATATTGCCACCGTCAGGTACATGTACGAATGAAACAATGATCCTATGCAGGCCGAAAAAAGAGCAGTTTTATGCCAACGTCCTACCGCCAAAACAGCATAATCTCGTGCGATAAGAATGATAGCTTTTCTTGGGTTGAGCGCCAAAATTTGAACCAAGCCTGACAAGTTCGACTCTCGGGCTCACTTTCCAAACAGACTAGGCTTTGTTCACTTCACATCTCACGCGCACATATGTAGTCAGGCCCATGTACCAACGGAGGCAACAGTTGCCTTGTTTCAGTTACGAATCAGACCCAGTCAACTACCCAACCAACCACACCTAATCAACTACAGTAAAACATGTCAAGGCGATCACTCGGACAAGGCGATCACTCGGACAAGGTGACCACTCGGATAAGGTGACCACTCGGATAAGGCGACCACCTGTTCTAGAAGACCACTGAAATCAGCACCAATGAATGCTATCTCCAGTCAAATGACCCTGGATAAGGAGATCACCTGGTAACAGAGACCAGGTTTCGAAGGTCCCTTGAGCGGTCGTCTTAGACAGGTCTCACTGTACCTCAAAAAGGTCAGCCACGCTGATTCACATGAAAAGAAAGAAAACCCCATGGAAATACGAACATAGCCACGCCAGAATAGAACCCGCTCAGACTGGGGAACCGCGCACACCCATACACCTCTACGCACAAAACAGCACATCACATAAGCGGTCATCATTCCAGCATGCCCGATCTCCTTAGCTGCAAAGTAGCCAGCGCTACGCCCAGCTCGAAAACATTGACACATTCAGTGTGAAATCTTTCACCTTTTCGCCGTTTAATCGCAATTCCTGAGCTACACAGAACTTCAGCATACCGTATTTCCCTGATTAGGCCATCATTTTTTATATCTATGTTTCGCGTCAGTTCAACTTCCAGAATCATATGCGAGAGGTGGAAAAAATAAAAAAGTTGCAAAATAATAAAAAGGCTCATCAGAGGTGTATAGAACTGTACATAGCACAATACTCAATGGCTCGTGCATGGTGTACATCCGAAAGAAAAATCGTACATCCAAGCACAAAATCTGCATCACTTTGGACAGAGGAGGCAAAGGTTGGTGCCCTTGCTTCGCTGGATTATTGTACTCAGCCTTCAGCAGCGGTGCAAAGAGCTCCGGAACGACGCATCCTCTCAGCTTGAGGCGATCGATGCGGTCTGTTGTAAGCTCATAGAATACTGCTCGCAGATGCCGAACAAACGATTTACCAACGCTGGCCTCGAGGCCATTTCTGAATCCCAGTTTCGCCGTATGCAACCAGTCAACACCGATGACTCGCACGATCGTACACTAAACAGTGCATGATTGATTTTTTTATTTTTTTCCGAAAAAAATCAAAACGTATGCGTGCGGACGACGCGAAACAAAGATATAAAAAATGATGGCCTTATAAGTCGCACTCGAATATAAGTCGCACCCCCATTTTCAGGTTTGAGCAATATTGTTTTGATATATTGATTTCAGTAGCAAGTCATGCTCGATTGCAAGTCGCATCCCCTTTTTTACCCTTGAATTTTAGTGTAAATAGGTGCGACTTATATTCGAGGAAATACGGTATTTGGGCAGAGCAGTTTTCTGCCCACACGGAACTTTGCAGTAAAAATATAAAGAAAAAAGAACCAAGGAACTACAAGTTACGCAATAATGTCCACTAACACCACCAGTTACTTGACAATCAGCTCATGCTATAACATTGCACGACACTGACCGACGGTACGTGACGTTCTACACCTAACTGCAAATCAGCTCTAGCACGTCTTGGATGTGCACTCCAGCAGCCTTCCAGCTTGTAGTTCTTTGGTTATTTTTTCTTCTTATTCTTTTCTCCTTGGCTCTCCATCCGAGTCTTCTAACAGATAGGGTTTTTTAAACTGCAGCACACAACCAGCCACTATAGACTCTTTGGCGCAATAAGACAACTTTCGATTCTTCATTCTTCAAGCTCTACATTTTATCCCCGTACTGTAAGCAACGATGTTGTGAAAGCTTCAGGATTTGCAACGAAGGTCGAAATTCGCGGAATTTGTCACAGCGGCGAGAGCGCGGATTCTCCGTGCATGTGTTGGTGCGCCCGCGGACATGCTGACCTTCCTTCATCAGGTGCGTACGCGGGGGGGGGGGGGGGCGTTGCCCGGAAACACCCCCCAAATGGTCCAGACGAGCAATGTTTTTGGGCATTTTTGGTAGGGCGCGCGATCGATCTGACAAGAATGCAAAACTTCAACAGATCGTAACTCAGTCAAATCTCGCTCAAATCCAACAACCCAAATATCCAGGTCGAATAGAAAACTCTCAGCTGTGGGTAGAAACAATTCGCGAAGCGCTGCGAGCAATGGTTCTTGAGATAAATCATTCGCAAGTTGACCTGCGATCTCGGCAATTTCAAAAGCGCGCAGTGCGACTTGAGTATCAAGAATTTGAGACTTTTTGTCACCCTGACTTGCTCAAATTTGCACGGGGTTTCACTTGTGATACTCTGAAGAGTACACTGCGAAAAAATCGAAACTCTGCGATCGACGAAAACAGCAGGACGCGTTTGGGCCTTTGGAGCATATTTCGAACCGTCGCTGCACTCTAGCGCTGGTTACATGTATATGTACCATGTGTACAGTGTCGGGGCTATCATGGTTGACCTCATCCTCTTCCTCTCCCGGATACCTCTCAATTACACTTTGAGGAAGCCCAAGATTATGGAGATTGAGCAAGTAGAACTGACAGTGTGAAGATGATACAAGGAACACAAAAAATGCAGAATTTTGAAAATTGCCTTGGGCTTTAAATTGTTTGTGATTCGGTTGGAACCCCCCCCCCCAGAGGTGACCATGCGTACGCGCCTGTTCATACACATGTGTCAAATATCTTTTCTGGAATTTCGAAACACGTGCACGAAGGCATGTGGGCTCCGCCTCGTGCATTACGCATATGCTTGTACAGGCAAGATCTAGTCGAGCAACAAACTTGGTCTCAAGGGATCGTGTGGTTTGTATGACAACTTCCCCTTGGGCTCCCTCGGCAGAATTGGTTGAATGTGCCGGGGTCAAAGGCTACCTGAGTTCGTAGATCATGATAGGCTGGCTGGGACCATTCTTTGGTGCTCTCTGAAGCCAGTTTTAATAGTTTCTCAGTATCGCAAACGCACAATTCCTCACACCCACTCCATGAAAATTAATCTGTCTCACCTATCAATGCATCGTTCCTCCACTTCTGACGGTTGCCATTCTGCGTTGGGAAAGTGCTCTGCAAAGGCAGCTATGTGCTGTCCACTGCCTGACGCCGTCTCCAGAGCTGCAAACCGTCCATTTCTGTCCAAGTGTCCGTCAAGCACATCCACGATCGCCTTTTTGTTACGTTCAGCGGCTGGAAAGAACATCCTCGTCCTAACAGAAGGGACGGATGACGACCAGCGATGAGATACGTCTGCGTTCCCTGGAGATATACGAATGACTGCGTGTCTCAGCGGTTTCGAGGCGTGATGAAGCAACAACACTGGAGCAGTCATCAAATGCACACCGAACGTACTGCAGCTGTTTTGAAAGCTAGACAAAAAATTACAGACTTTGGAAACTGGAAAAACTGCCAGGGCTAACTACTTCAAGTAGTTGGAGGACAAACTGTTCGCGAATTGGATACTGATCAAAACAGATGCGCATGTAGTCTGAGAAGTAACACATTCCCTTGGCCATGTGCTAAATCACGAAAGGCACAACAGACAATGGTTGTTTGTTCATGCTCTTTTTTTTATCGTACCATGTTTTTGGCGTGCCCACGCGGTACCGCGGTGTCCAAGGAGCCTGATCTGATGGAGTACGATGCGCTAGGCGCCATTTTCTTCTCCTGGACGACAGAAATGACCATGTTCGTCTGAGCACTACGCACATGCGCAGCTGTTCACAAAATTAAAAGCAAAATAATAATTTTAATTGCATTCAGCAGCCACTGTATATTACAATGTACACAGTCATTGTAGTTGAGTCGATGTGAGGGTTGAGCGACTTCAACTGACAACTCTGCTCCGGTCCGTCCGGACCGGTGTCCTCGGAGGGCCATAATCATGATAATGGCCGAGCGAAGAAGGGCGAACCCCAACCTGCATCGGATTCTAATCCATGCCATAGTGTAAGGCTCCGCCGCGTTCTTCTGGTAACTGATGATCAGTCCAAGCCGCAAGTTAGTTGTAGAGAGCAGTTGCCGCCTTGCCTTGTTGGCCTCCTGTGGCACTGAACACGAGGGGAACGAAGGTGGCACGCTCCGCCTCGCAAACACGCTGCTCATAATGCGGATGCCTCTCACGCTCATGTTTTGCGCATGCGGCATGCGGTGCACCGGTGGGGATGGAGTGGACCGAGTTCCAGCGAGCATGAGGGTTGAACACCCGAATATCACAGAAAGCTCGCTCAAACCGGCCACCCCATACCCCGCTGGCAGCAACATCCAACCTGACACCATCCTCGCGGATAGCAGTCCGGTGATAAAAACTCTCACCAGATAACCGCTGGAGGTGTGGAAATTAAAACAGGCATAACACCTAACAACATTGATCAATGAATGCTGATACACTGTATCATGCTGCTGTCTGCTGATGTGCGCATGTATACCATGCACACATCAGCAGACAGCAGCTCATGATACAGTGTATCATCATAGCAATTAGCAGTCAGGTCCCGCAACTCGTTGTGCCACCGAGACGGATATCAGTAGCCACCTGCTGGGCAAGACAGAGCGTACGGGACAGTGAAGGCCGCTCCACAGGCACAGCTCTTTTGGGAGGTGGGGCGGAGTCCACCCGCAGCGGAGGCAGACAGCTGCATCTCGAAACGTGTCCTTGTGTAGAGACTCGAGAGAGCCCATGAAGCTCAGTTTTAAAAGTGGCCGACAGGTGAGCCAGTTCGACGCACCTTTTTTTCAGCCGCAAGATCCATAGACCTCTGCAGGTCTCCCTCCATCCACGCCATCGCACAACTCCTTGGCGTGACACTGCTCCGTCTTCCTGGCGTCTGCCCCGGCTTTGGCTTTGGCTGCCCTGGTGTTGTCCACCTCCCCCTGTGGCAGCGTATCCTGGCTCAAAATGCACTGAACCAAGCTCTCGGTGCTGGTAAGGGAGGAAGGAAACTGGTTCACTAGGGATACTGGGGAGACAATCCCCATGCCTCCGTAGAGGCATGGGAGCGCGAGGACTTGGCGTTCCGTCTCTCCGGGCTGAGGACTTGGCGTTCCGTCCCTCCGGGCTGAGGACTCGACCAAGAAGAGCAGGAATGAACGACTCACGGACTCGGAGATGGTGGACTCCAGCTGCTCGAGGTGCGGAGCAACGCCTGGCATTGTGCGGGCGATGAGTGACCACAGAAATCGACACAAGCATGGCGGGGAGTCGTAAAATACCGGTATTTTACGACTCCCTGGGCGCAAGCGTCACATGGAATATGGTGGCATTTCCGATGCAAACAGAGGGGTTCCAGGTTCTAGCCTGCAGTCTGTAGAGTGTTCAATGCCGAAAACCAGAGCAACTTCCAGCAAGAAGCAAGGGTGCATACATGTAGGATACCAGCATCCACTCTTGAGTTATGTAACCTGACATGGTCTTCCCCTTCGCCATTTCTTCCCCATCAGTCTCCCCTTCCCCTTGTTTAGTTCAGACGGTATCGTGTGACATGTATCTTCTATGTGACTGTGCCTTCATACAGTAACCTCTTCGAGATATCAGTTTCAACGGTCTCTAATGTCTCTTGCCCGTACTGTGCTCCTTTACGAATACACTCACATGCTCTGGTTATTCCTTTCCTCTGCATTTCTTTTCCTCCGTTGTCATTTGCCCGTTCATCCGGCTTGGCCCTAGTCATACATGTACATGTACATGCCAAGGAGAGTTGAAGGCTTGAAGCATGCATGCTGCATTGTTCCATCTCTGCAGGTTCACTTGTGCCTGTGCATTGACCGGGCGTGTACGTATAGACCAGCCGGGCGGCGAGCCGAGAGCCGGAAAGCGCAGCGAAACCGGACAACCCATATGATTGTTACAATAAACCTGCTGTACCATGCTGGTACATGGTAAGACAAGAGTCAAGAGAGCTTCACGGCTTCGTGAGAGTTGAGAGGCCGAGGAGATCTGGGACAGATCGTGCAGATTGAGACGTCTGACAACAAAGAGACACACCAGCTACAAACTAAAGGCGTGGCAATCAATACTATACAGTCTGTAGCTCCAAGCCTGTTGAGGTCGGACCAGCAGACAGCAGATCGATCTGTGCCTGTTGCACCCACTACATGTACATACTCTCATCATGATTGTATTCTCTGCTGTGAGTGTGTGACCATGTCCACTTCGTTCCGGTGAGTGAATCCAGAGGACTATAATGAAATTCCAATTTTGTACGTCGTCGGCTTGTATGAATGAGCACTGGACAATCCATGATAGACTCCCAAGCCAAACCAATGAACTACTTGTACAATATCGGCAGTATGAGATGCGGACAGCGCGAGCTGACTCCCTAAATCCACATCTAAAGCCAAAGGTCGCACGTCCACATAATCATTACAACCAGCTATACCGTGAATTGTGTTGACAAACACAACCAGGCTACTAGGAAGTCTCACATGTACTTCGAAGTATCAGTGGCACACCTTTCATCATTTACTATCCACGCTTACCATCATGTTCAAGCGCAGAGCTCTGCTCTAAACTATTTCTTTATCTCTTTCTTTGCTCACCTATTGCTCATCACTTTTTTACAGCTATGGCATTGTGGAAAGTTTGGCAACCCCCTCGATAGGCGAAAGCCTTTGGGGAATCCTTTTAGCAATAAAGATTACAAAATTACATTACTGTTGTCGCTCATATCACTAGGACTAGGTATGACTTTGGGCTCACTGTTATACTCCTGCGCAGAGCATTCCAACCAATGAGCCAAATATGGTCACAATCGGTGCCGCGTTACGGTAGAACCACAGTAGTTATGCTTTGAGTTTGTGGTCACGAAACGTTCATCGACTCGGTAAGAGTGCAGTTACCTACAAGTACATGTACATTTTATGTCTTTGTGTCATTTGATCTGTGGGGTTCCAAAGGGGGGGGGGGGGGGGGGATGAAAAGGAACTTGAATCATAGGACATGAGTGTTGTTGCTCGTACCATTAATATTATACAGATACAGATACAGATACATGTACATGTACATGACTACATGTACATGAAAATAATTAAAGGGGAAGTATACCCTAAAATCAAATTTTCACCAGTTGTAGTCTTTGGGGTGCTGAGTCGAATGGTCTTGGTCCGAGGAAGCTGAGACGCTCCCTTCCTACTTGAATCCCAATCGAACTCGCGCACTTCCACCGAAACTGGGTGACTGCGCCCTACTAGATGGGGATTTGTATGCAAAATGTCACTAAAAGCGCCATTTCGTTCTTATAAAAGCACGGATGACCGCGATTGGCCCATATGTTGTAGTCTTTTGGACGCCGAGTCGACTGGTTTTGGTCCGAAAAGGCTGCGATGCGGCGTTCCTCCTTTATTCCCAATCGAACATGGTTGAAGAAGCGGTCACGTGCTCCTGCGTACACCAGTCACCTGGTCACCGTGCCTGCAGGGTACAACTTACTAGCCTGTTTGACCTTTTTTGGGTGCAGTCCTGTCACTCGAGTTGAACTCGAGTTGAACCTTGGTGTGAAAGTTGTCACCTGCTGGCGTGGTGACCAGGTGATTTGGGCACCCAGGACCACGTGACCGCTTCTTCAACCATGTTCGATTGGGAATAAAGGAGGAACGCTGCATCGCAGCCTTTTCGGACCAAAACCAATTGACTCAGCGTCCAAAAGACTACAATATATGGGCCAATCGCGGTCATCCGTGCTTTTATAAGAACGAAATGGCGCTTTTAGTGACATTTTGCATACAAATCCCCATCTAGTAGGGCGCAGTCACCCAGTTTCGGTGGAAGTGCGCGAGTTCGATTGGGATTCAAGTAGGAAGGGAGCGTCGCAGCTTCCTCGGACCAAGACCATTCGACTCAGCACCCCGAAGACTACAACTGGTGAAAATTTGATTTTAGGGTATACTTCCCCTTTAATATGAATGACTGCATATTAAGCTCCCTTTATTAGTAGGCCTTTAACTTTAACCCTATGGGAATGTGAACATAGTAAAAAAAAAAAAAAAAAAAAACCAGACTACATGTACATGTACTTGTATGTCAGAGGGTGCAGTACTTTCAGTTCCTACACAAGATAGAAAGACGCGGCGTGCTGTTGTGCACATCATTGTATGAATACAATGAATTGTAATTATCTGTGCGGTGTTCCTGCCCGTACACGGTCAAGGGGTTTCATGCGGATTCACGCTGCGTGTGCGTGTACATGACTGGTATCACTATTAGATAAACCTTGTTTTACTTCACACATGTACATTGTATTGTTGTTGGTTTGACAGCATGAAACAAGGTGGAGGACACCGTGTTCAGAAACAGTGACCTTTCTAGAACCAGGGAGTAGTACAGTACCAACTACTCCCGGTCTACAACCATCCACCCCACCAACCGTGTGAACGGTTGTAGAAAGGTCACTGTTTCCGAACACGGTGTCCTCCACCTTGTTTCATGCTGTCAAACCAACAACATGTACGTGCCTGTATACATGTATACCATACAAGGCATGCGCTGGCATGATACAGTCGCGGTGAGGCCCACCCTTCCAGTGAGGGTGAAGCAGGGTGTCATACTCATAGACATACACGTACGTACCGGTACATGTACATGATGTAGGTGATGGTGA